GGTCTCCAGCTGTGTGCGTCACTCTTTAGTGTCCCCTGGTCTCCAGCTGTGTGCGTCACTCTTTAGTGTCCCCTGGTCTCCCAGCTGTGTGCGTCTCTCTTTAGTGTCCCCTGGTCTCCCAGCTGTGTGCGTCACTCTTTAGTGTCCCCTGGTCTCCCAGCTGTGTGCGTCACTCTTTAGTGTCCCCTGGTCTCCCAGCTGTGTGCGTCTCTCTTTAGTGTCCCCTGGTCTCCCAGCTGTGTGCGTCACTCTTTAGTGTTACCCGGGGTGTTTCTCAATGTCAAGGAAGGATCCTTCAGAGCTACTATTTCGCCGAAGGATCCTTGGAATTCTACCGAGGACTGAGTCCTTCGCTGCGGAAAATTACGAGGCTGCACATGTGTATCCTCGGCAGTCTTCAAAGTCCCACAATGCTTTGCGCCCGGACCAATTTCCAAAATCTTTGGCGGAATTGGCTGAATCCAGGCAGTACACATTTAAATGTAAGTAGGTACAGTGGCATAGAAAATGTGCACATGACTTGTGTTTAAAGTTTATAGTCCGTTTGAGTTTTGCCCGTGTGAACGCAAACCGAACCTTCTGAAAAATGAAACGATGGAACAAACTGTCGTCTGGTGCGCAGCAGAGAAGCGGACTATTAGGTTTGAATGAGACCTTATGGCGCTTTTCCACTGCAGGGCCTCGCTCTGCTTAGTACGGTATGGCTAGACCTCGTTAGGCCTCGTTAGGCCCGGCTCACTTTATGCTGCGTTTCCATTACAGTTTAGGAACTGGGGCAGTAACTATAGTAACGCAGTGTAGGCGGAGCCGTGACGTCATCTTCAATGCGAAACACAAAACCAACATCAGCCGTTAGCTGTTAGCACTCAGAGCTCACAGCTCTTCATATCTGTTCAGAAACTAGACAGAAGTTAAACAAGTACAAACCACAGACTGCCTGTGTCATGGAGAATACAATCGCTGGTTTATTTATGTCTGTATAGGCCGTTGTTGTGAGTGTGGACGGTCGGAGCATATACTGCGTTAGCTTAGCCAATCTCCATTCAGAAAACACACATTTTAAAAGGTGTTTCTCTGCCGTCTGTCTGCAGACTCAAAGCATTAACTCATGGTTTTTACTCACCGGTATCAGTATGTTGTTACTTCGGCATCATTTTGAAACGTGTATTACAATTAAATCACGGTCAAACATGTTCATCTTGTTGTAGTTGTAGCCCCCTTGCCAGCGATTCTCTCTCTAGTTTAGCGTACTCAGCCGACTCAGCCTGGTTGTTCCTGGCCCTAGAACCACCATTTTATGGGGCCAGAAAAACTGTGAAATAGGACCCGCTAGCCGGTGCTAGGCCAAGTGGAAACGCAACCAAAAACTGTCCGGGCATGGCACGCTTATTTTAGCGAGCTCCGCGCTATAGTGGAAATGCGCCATAATTTCCCTCCTCAACTCCTATCCTAGTGTCTTAGTCCCGCCCACAGGAGATGCGAGCGGAGGAGAGAGGAGGGGAGCGGAGGAGAGAGGAGGGGAGCGGAGGAGAGAGGAGGGGAAGCAGCAGGCGGTTAGAGAAAGGAGAACTCCTCTCCTCTGAGCGTCACTTTAAAGAGACGTCCATTAATGATGACAGGAGGCAGCAGCCCTCTGTCTGATGGACAGATGTGTTCATGACCACTTCTATATTTACTTTGATTCATTCACAGTGCGGTATAATGAGACAATAACAGGCTACAGATGCGGGGACACACACACACACACACACACACACACACACACATATATATTTATATAAATATATACAATTTCAGAATCAAAAGTATGAGAGCACTCTCATAATAACGTAACACAATCAGAGACTGGATATATCCCCCCTCTCTCTGGTCGCTGAAATGTGGAATTTAAATTACGGGCCAAAAGTTGTATTTACAAGTATTAAAAGTAAGCAGAGGTAGGCGTGGGCGATATGACGATATATATCGTCTATCGTGATACTGCTTGAAAAATATCGTGATAATATATTTTTCAATATCGCCCACCCCTAAGCAGAGGACACCAAACCAACTGAGACCCGTCTGTCTAACTAACAAGGTGTTACGGCTGCTGTTTCTGCCTGCTCGGTAACCTGTCTGGGATTGTCTGCAGCTGTGTGTGTGATAATGTAAATGAGCTGTGTGGTTGCCCCAATGTGATTGGCTGTCATCTCCTGGTCCACTTCCGAGGACACTGATTGGAGCACGCCGGGCCCGACGTTCTCCAATCGCAGCGCACAGCCGGCGCACACCTGCTGGAGACGACTACAAAGCGGAGGACAATCATCACTCTGGAGAGGTCTGTTGAGTGAACAGACGCCTCTCGCTACTTGCTTGTCGTTCTGTGGATAACTTGTGTGGTCTGTGTCTGGTAGTGCGATATTGTGTGTTAGTAGTGCCTAGAGTAGCTTAGTTAGAGGTTAGAGTAGTTGACATAGTGTTTAGAGTAGCTTAGGTTTTGTGACTGTTGCCTTTAGTTTAGCTGTGTGCTTTGTATTCCCTGTGTTAGTCTGTACCACTTTTAAAGTGAGGTTTTGTTTAGTTCCTTATTTAGTGTGAGTGTTATTTCTTTGTATGTACACAGACTCCTTTTTAAGAGTCCTCCCTTTGTTTGGTTGTTTATGTAAACCTGTGCCCTTTTGGCCTTTTTTGTTGTTCCAGGCTGCATGCCTGCCATTTTGTTTACCGCTGCTATTTATAATAAAACCACTAATAATTATTACCAATCCCATTCTGGTTGTGTTGCTTCCCTTTGGTTCCCCTAGCCCAGTAGGGAACGTAATACAAGGCCTAACTATACCGAGCGACGCAGAGCGAGGCCCTGTAGTGGCGCATTTCCACTACAGGAGCCTTCCATGCATGCCCGGCGCCGTGGGAGGGCCAGGGAGGGCAAGGACATTCCTGCCCTCCCCCAATAAACACGTTTTTTATTATTTATAATTATAAATAAACTGTGAACTTTTATGCTACGATGTATGTGATGTCAGATAGTAACCAAAAAAAAAAAATCGCAGGCTACGTCAAATAAATGCATGTGTCTGTTGTGATTTGTGATTCGTCCACATTTAGACCAGTCACAGCGTCACACTCTGCCGCCTATTCTGGATTTGTTTATTGTGCATTCTGTAGACTCCCATTTCTGTTTGAATTTCAAAATGGACTTCAGAAATTGTCTCAAAAGGTCTAAGGATTTATTAAAACAAAATAGCGATGAAAGAACTGCAGCCGATGGTGCTGCTGGCGACCCTGCACCTGCCGTTGCAGCAGCACGCCTTGCCTCGGCAAACCCCGGGGCTGAGTTAGCGAGCCCTGACTCATCAAGGCGGCCGCCACCAACGCTGTCCTCCGAGGCACAGCTCCTTGTGCCCCTACCATCACCACCTGCGTTGCCACACCCTGTACCAAGTGCACTTTTACTGTCAAAGGTTTTTGCGACTGGAAACACGCATTACAGACTGATAAAGGATTGCTAAGGCATGCCGCATCAAAAGAACACATTTCATGTGAGAGTTTGTAGAGAGAGAGAGAGAGAGAGAGAGAGAGAGAGAGCGAGACAGACGCGAGGAAATAAATAAGGAAAGTAGTACTTTAGTGCAGATCAGCTGCACGGAGCCGTTATTACGTGTCAGCTGTCGTTGATATTATAGCTTTTTTAGCTGTCAACCAACTCCCTCTCGGAGGTGAGCACGATTCACTCCACAGCATGTCCGAGTCAGGCAGTGGGCTGTTTGAGTATACGCTGCAGTACAAATGTATTTGCGATAAGTGTGCGTCTTTGCGCAATGCTGTTGGCCTTGCTGTTTGATATATATTGTGCCGCAGGCCCGCAGCACGTGACGGTTTTGTGTGCCCTCCCATGAAAATCATATGCCCTCCCTTTAGATTTGTTCTGGCGCCGGGTCTGCTTCCATGTACAGTTATGTTTTTTTTCTCGTGCCTGGTCATTTCTGTGCTTTGTTACTTCCCTTCATACCCCTAGATTAGGAGGGAACGTAACAGTCCCTTTGAAATGATTTCTGATAATCCATAAGCAATAAACCTGCTTTTCCGTTTCCAGATGTCAGAGCTAGAGATAGGTTCGCTCTGGTGCAAAACTGCATTCGCGAAGCCCCCACCTTTTTGTTTTACCGTGTGTGTGTGTGTGGGGAAATCCCCCTTCAATTCTATTGGCTCTAATGGTCAAAGAGATATCAATCAGCAAAATCCAGCAAGGGGGGCCAGAGGTCAAATCCACCCAAATGGCCCCAGCAGAGGGTTTTTTTGCTAAATCTGTCTTAAAAGGTCAAATGTCACTTGTTTTGCATCAATCTTGATGCAGGGTACTTATTATATGTTGTACTTTGGATTCCTAAAGCTTTTAGTCTACCATCCCATCATCCAAGGGTAGTTTTCACTATAAGTAAAAAATAATTGTTGGACGGACACTATAATTTACAGTTTTTTACTCTGTTCAATCTGAATTTTCTTTAAAATAAAAAGCATCTATATTGATTCTGACTCTTCTACATCCAACTCACAGGTTTATCCTTACTTTGAGAAAAAATATTATTAATTTAACCCTTTTAGAAGTGAAGATATGGTCATTTGTTCTGGGGATGTCATTTTCGAGCCTGAGACCTGAAAAACAGGCACAGGGCTAAACAGGTTAAGTTCATTGTCAGAATAAGTAAGAAATGGATTTAACTTCTGTTAGACAGCTATATGCCATACATTCACAGTAAATATTTATTCAGTGTGATATTCGGCAGATCGGGTAGTGACAACACTGCCTACTGTAATGTCTTGACTTACTGCTGAATAAACCTGAGTCGTAAAAGATACTCGATCATTCTGAAAACATGTCTTTTCATTTTAAAGAAAGCGTATTTTTATTACCTTATGTGTGTCCGACCCTGATGTGAAAATATAATTTTCATAAACAGGTATGATGTTGAATAAATATCTCACTTCGGCTCCTTCCGTCAGTTTCCGCCATGCCTCGTCTTGCCTCCATTTTGCAGTGTGTGTGTGGGTGCGCAGTGAGGGTGCGCAGTGTCACAGGGAGTAAACAGCAGCAGCAGGACGCACTGAGACATTCTGCAGAAATGGACGGGTAATACATTATTACTAACCCTTATTACATGTGGTGTGTGTGTGTGGATGATCTGCAGAGTGTGTGTGGGAGTGTGTGAATGTGTGTGAGAGAGTGTATTTAAAGGAGAGGATAGCTTAGCTTAGCATCACTTAGCATGCTGGTGATACAGTATCGACGGTCCTTTGTGTGGGGGCTAACAGCTAGCCTAGCTCATGGAGCTGATAACAACAGAGTGTGTGTGCTGCGTTTAAATCAGTGTGTGCACGCATCACACACTCTTATAGTCCAGCATATAAACTGCTGGGTTTATAATGTTATTAGTCAGTGTGTATAATAGTGTGTGTGTGCAGGGTGTGTCTGTCCTACAGGGTCGTGAATCCAGACCATAGTTCCTGTTTCAGTGGGATGTGTGGGTCACATGGTATCGGCTGTGTTATATACAGGCCTGCAGTGTGTGTGTGTGTGTGTGTGTTGGGTTTTCAGATGCATTGTATTTCCATCTGCAGCCAGGTGGATGTTCTGATCATCTGCTCGCTGATAAAGGCTTCCACCAACCACTGTGTTATTATTATTATTATTATTATTATTATTATTATTATAATGCAACGACTCAATTCAAGGTTCAAGGCTGTTCTCATCATGTGCTCAACAGACATCTGAGGTCACAGGCTCCTCCAACAGAGCATCACAATAACACGGATAATAGTGCAGTAAATAGAATATAATAGAAATAGTGCAGAAGAGTCTATATACAGTAATTGGAATATTGATATTTCCGAGTTGCAAACAGATGGATGTTCTTTCAGAGTTCAGGAGTTTAACCGTCTAATTGTGTGTGTGTGTGTGTGTGTGTGTGTGTGTGGTGTGTGTGTGTGTGTGTTGTGTGTGTGTGTGGTGTGTGTGTGTGGTGTGTGTGTGGTGTTTGGTGTGTGTGTGTGTGTGTGTGTGTGTGTGTGTGGTGTGTGTGTGGTGTGTGTGTGTGTGTGTGTGTGTGTGTGTGTGTGTGTGTGTGTGTGTGTGTGTTGTGTGGTGGGTGTGTGTATGTGTGTGTGTGTGTGTGTGTGTGTGTGGTGCCTCTCACTACCAAAGACCAACACATCTAAGATTAGATTAGAGGTACTTTATTGATCCACATTGGGAAATGTTTGGCATTGGCAGCCGCATCAAAACAAGGCATTGGACATAAGTAGAACTTAAAGAGTAGAAATAAACAATACTAGAATTCAAACATCTTCAATAAAAGCAGTATTAAAAAGTAGAAAATATACAGTAGGCCTTGAAGAAAATAAATCTATAAACTATTAGTTAACCAACAACACACACCATCACTGCTGCTACACACAGGTTGGATGTGGAAGACATACTTTTGGGTCGTATTAGATGTTTACTGTACCACAAATCTGCCATGATGATTTCCAGATTGTTAGAATCAATGATGTGGTTCTAACTTATAACCCTGCTGCAGGTTTTATAATGTCTTCACTTTGTCTTCTCTTCCAGCACCAGTGACGTTGCAGTTGGAGTGAAGGTGAGTTTCTGACTCTGTTGCCTCACGTTCACACACACACACACACACACACACACACACACACACACACACACACACACACACACATCTCATGCTGTTCCTACGTTATGGAAGAGGTTGAACTCCTCAGGGTGATTCAAACAGGTTATACACAAGCAGCAGGGTGGAGGAGTTATTAAATGATCCCTAATATAATGCTTATATTTATATCTAAAGTATGGTGTTACGTTTGCTGATCAAATCGCATATCGTGGATTTTTCTACTGCAATATTAATGCCTTTAAAGTTACTTATCAGACCTAAGAGGATGCAAGTGAATGTTAATATAATCTCTAGTATCCACTCTAGGGCTGCTCAATTGATCGCGAAAACAACGTAATCGAAATAAAACGATTACTTTTTTATTATTATTATCTTCTTCTTTTTTTCAGTTGAGTTTTACTTAAAGTTCAGGATAATCAACTGTTAAAACATACAGTTCAAATGTTTCTTCTCCAATAAATTGATGTTTTCAAAGTAAATGGATAATCGTTTTTAATAATCGTGATCAATTATTGACCCAGTGGAGCGAGTGGAATATGTTGACTCTATGTTGGCTCTATGTTGGCTCTATGTTGACTCTATGTTGGCTCTATGTTGACTCTATATTGGCTCTATGTTGACTCTATGTTGGCTCTATGTTGGCTCTATGTTGGCTCTATGTTGACTCTATATTGGCTCTATGTTGGCTCTATGTTGACTCTATGTTGGCTCTTTGTTGACTCTATGTTGGCTCTTTGTTGGCTCTATGTTGACTCTATGTTGGCTCTATGTTGGCTCTATGTTGGCTCTATGTTGACTCTATGTTGGCTCTATGTTGGCTCTTTGTTGACTCTATGTTGACTCTATGTTGGCTCTATGTTGGCTCTATGTTGGCTCTTTGTTGACTCTATGTTGACTCTATGTTGACTCTATGTTGGCTCTATGTTGGCTCTATGTTGACTCTATGTTGACTCTATGTTGGCTCTATGTTGGCTCTTTGTTGACTCTATGTTGGCTCTATGTTGGCTCTATGTTGGCTCTATGTTGACTCTATATTGGCTCTATGTTGGCTCTATGTTGGCTTTTGTTGACTCTATGTTGGCTCTTTGTTGACTCTATGTTGGCTCTATGTTGACTCTATGTTGGCTCTATGTTGACTCTATGTTGGCTCTTTGTTGGCTCTATGTTGGCTCTATGTTGACTCTATGTTGGCTCTATGTTGACTCTATGTTGGCTCTATGTTGGCTCTATGTTGGCTTTTTGTTGACTCTATGTTGACTCTATGTTGGCTCTATGTTGGCTCTTTGTTGGCTCTATGTTGGCTCTTTGTTGACTCTATGTTGGCTCTTTGTTGGCTCTATGTTGGCTCTATGTTGGCTCTATGTTGGCTCTATGTTGGCTCTTTGTTGACTCTATGTTGGCTCTTTGTTGGCTCTATGTTGGCTCTATGTTGACTCTATGTTGGCTCTATGTTGACTCTATGTTGGCTCTTTGTTGGCTCTTTGTTGGCTCTATGTTGACTCTATGTTGGCTCTATGTTGACTCTATGTTGACTCTATGTTGACTCTATGTTGGCTCTATGTTGGCTCTATGTTGGCTCTTTGTTGGCTCTATGTTGGCTCTTTGTTGACTCTATGTTGGCTCTATGTTGGCTCTTTGTTGGCTCTATGTTGGCTCTATGTTGGCTCTATGTTGGCTCTATGTTGGCTCTTTGTTGGCTCTATGTTGGCTCTATGTTGGCTCTATGTTGAGGAGTGTTCAGGTTGTGACAGTGCACTGCAACATGTGTGTTGATCTTGTTTATTGGTATTTATTATTTTGATATTATTTATTTAAATGTAGACATGAATGTATAATTTATTTTATTTTGTATTGGTTTTTCAGTTGATTACCCTGAACGTATAATTCAACAGTTAAAAAGTTCAAATTATTACTTGTATTTGTTTTAAAGTACAATAAATGGATGCTTTCAAAGTCAATGAATAATCGCAATTACAATTATTGACCCAAATAATCGAGATTATGATTTTTGCCATAATCGAGCAGCCCTACTCCACGCCCAGCTGTGCACCGAGAGATTTCATTGATCTGTATTTCAAAGCGTTTCCAACCCTACCAACGTCCCTGACTCAGACCTAAAGAGAGCAGCTGCAGAGATGTAGGGTTCCACGCTGCAGATGTAAACACCAGACAATGAGGTTATTTTAATATTAGCTTTGCAGCTGCAGGACTTTGTGTTTCTGAAACCTGATTAGTTGGTTCCTGCTCAGAGCTCCTCTCTTCAGGGAAACAGCCGTAAAGTCAGAAGTTTATTTCCTCAGTATTTCAGCTCCGTCTGAACTCCAAGCTGTTGGAGGAATAATGTCGTTTAAACCCACGAGGGACGATTTTAATACGCTCTGAATTTATTCCTCTTGTCGCTGTGAGGGGCGGCTTTATCGTGACCATAAAGAACACCGGCGCCAAAACAAAGTGTGTGTGTGTGTGTGTGTGTGTGGGGTGTGTGTGTGTGTGTGTGTGTGTGTGTGTGTGTGTGTGTGTGTGTGTGTGTGTGTGTGTGTGGTGTGTGTGTGTGTGTGTGTGTGTGTGTGTGTGTGTGTGTGTGTGTGTGTGTGTGTGTGTGTGTGTGGTGTGTGTGTGTGTGTGTGTGTGTGTGGTGTGTGTGTGTGTGTGTGTGTGTGTGTGTGTGTGTGTGTGGTGTGGTGTGTGTGTGTGTGGTGTGGTGTGTGTGTGTGTGTGTGGTCCCCAGGCTGTGCTCAGACCATCAGTCAGCTGTAGATTCTGCTGGGACTCAGGATGAGACGTCCTGACATCTTAAACTCACACAGATTAAACTCAGAGCTTCCTCCTCCTCCTCCTCCTCCTAAACTCTCCTCAGAGACCTCTCCTTTATCCTCCTCTCTTCTCCATGTCAGGAACATTAGAGCTGTAATTGATTGGTTGGATGCTTGTAGATACAAGTGTTTTCTATCCGTAAAGTGTATTAAAAAGAGCTCTAAATAAAAAAGTATTATATTAACTGTCATAGATGTTCATTTACTGCCCATGCTCAGGTTGATATCAGTATTCAGACATCATAATATAGCTTGTGATCATGTGCATAGATGAGTTAATGACACTTTATACAACAATCTCACAATAAACCAATAGAGACGATGTGACTCTGTTTCTCAATGAGTGTGTTTGTGTTTCTGCAGAGAGGATCAGACGAGCTGAGTCTGTACAGCAGCTCCAGCTCTGCCCTGAGCAGCATCACTGGTGAGGGGGAGGTTCATAGGGGGGGGGTTACTGGGAGGCATTCATTCATATGGGGGGGGGTATTTATTTAAACAGAGGGGGGGTTACAGGGAGGCATTTGATCCCAGTGACAGACGCCTGTGAATGTGTGTTTTTGAAGTGAAATGAGCTGCTCGGTCCTCGCATGGGAGACATTTAGTGTGTGAGAAACATCACACTGCTCAGCAGGGGGGCCGCCCACACACACACACACACACACACACACGGCATGTGACAGAACATTGAAAACTGTGAACACGCTATCAGAAATATCAGGGAGACTAACAGCCTCCACATAGTCACCCTGTTAGAGACTGACAGAATAATAAAGACACACACGCTTTAATCAAAGGCCAGACCACCAGGGCTGCACTCATCAATGTGTTTGTGTGTGTGTGTGTGTGTGTGTGTTTGTGTGTGTGTGTGTGTGTGTGTGTGTGTTGTGTGTGCGCGCTTCAGACGGCTCTAACGGCAGTGACAGTAAGAAGCAGTGTGTGTGTGTGTGTGTGTGCTCTATTAATGTGTGTGTGTGCTTCAGACGGCTCTAACGGCAGTGACAGTAAGAAGCAGTGTGTGTGTGCATCATTAATATGTGTGTGTGTGCTTCAGACGGCTCTAATGGCAGTGACAGTAAGAAGCAGTGTGTGTGTGCATCATTAATATGTGTGTGTGTGCTTCAGACGGCTCTAACGGCAGTGACAGTAAGAAGCAGTGTGTGTGTGCATCATTAATATGTGTGTGTGTGCTTCAGACGGCTCTAATGGCAGTGACAGTAAGAAGCAGTGTGTGTGTGCATCATTAATATGTGTGTGTGTGCTCTCCAGACGGCTCTAATGGCAGTGACAGTAAGAAGCTGAGAGTGGAAGAGGCCCCCCCCTCCAGAGTGCTCCACATCAGGAAGCTTCCCAACGAAGCGTCGGAGACGGAGGTCATCGCGCTCGGCCTGCCGTTCGGAAAGGTCACAAACATCCTGACCCTGAAGGGCAAGAACCAGGTGAGCATCGGGCCTGAGCAGCGTTTCCGCCAGGGGGGCGTCTTGGCGTCATTTGACGCTCTTATTCAGCTCGGAACGCCCTGAACTCGAGCCGAGGGCGTCCAAAAAAAAAATGTATTTGAGAGAAGATCAAGAATTTTTATCGCTTGAAAAGACAAAAGGACACCCCTCTGTTGGAGGGGCAAAGGAGTCTGGTGGGATTATTTTCGCCACCAGCAAAGCGCGTTCCTGTGACAGAAAAAAACAAAACACCGCCGCATCTTCCAAGGACCATGCAAGGAGAGACGTAAAGAGAGAGTATAAGGGACGACGCAATTCAAAATTGTGTGTGTGTGCATACGTAAAGAACTAGTATCTATAACGGACGGCTCAATTCAAAATTCAACATCACCCCCCCGCTCTCGGGGTTGACGCGGGAGGGGTCCAAATGTTGTTCAGACACAGTGGCCGTTTCTCAATCGCGAGTAAAATGGCTGCAGAGCAACTATTTCAAGTATACGCCGAAGGACTGTTTAAATGCATGTTACATGCCCAGCATTCTGCGCCACTCTATGACCTACTATACTTGAAATAGCATGTGTACTCGCGAGAAACGGCCAGGAGAAGATGACCACTTCCTGTTCTCAGAGGTGTGTGTGGCCTAGCATTACTATACTTGTGGGGACCTAAATCTGTTTACACAGTCACGTGTGGGGACTCGCCTCCCTTATGGGGACAAATTGGAGGTCCCCATGAGGGGGATCATTACTTTTAGGGTGAAGACTTGGTTAGGTTTAGGATTAGGGTTAGGGTTAGGCATGTGTTGGTTATGGTTAAGGTTAGGATAAGTCTCCAGGAAATGCATGTAATGGCGCATTTCCACTGCAGCGGGTAGCCCCGTTTAAGCATCCTTAACCGTCCTCAAGCGGCCAGGCCAGTTTTTGGTGGCCTTTCCATATAGCCTTTTTCCGGCCCCATAAAATCATGGTTCCCTCAGACCAGGGCCAGGGCTGAACTAGTGACGTCAACACTCTCGACTGCTGATTGGTCAGAAAGAATCGTCACAAGATCGCGCGCGAGTTCATCCCTAGCGTCGCATATATATTTAGAAGCAAGCTTGCAGCATTTTTATAAACAGCATTTTGTAAACGGAAGAGCTACAAAAATGGCTACGTCTAATAAGAAAAGCACACCGTGGTCGACCGAGGAGGTGACGACGTTCCTACATCTCATTGGGGATGATCAAATCCAGCGGGAGCTCGATGGAACAACTCGAAATGTGAACAAAAAAAAGCCGATCGCCTACACCTACACCTACGCCTACTACACTGCGTTGCTATAGTAACTACCCCAGGTCCTAAACTGTGATGGAAATGCGCCACGGCCTGGGACGGCCAGCGAGGCAGCCCGAGGCCTGAGCGAGGACGCTTAGGGACGCTTAAACGGGGCTACCCCGCTGCAGTGGAAATGCGCCATTAGTCAATGTAATGTCCCCTGAAGTGATGTGTGTGTGTGTGTGTGTGTGTGTGTTGTGTGTTGTGGTGGAAATCCCACACTTAATCACCTTCTGGTTAGAAGAACAAATATCCAAGCTTAAACCAAAGTTGTGTTATTTAATAAAGAGTTATAGCATTTAACAGAATATATTTCCAGCTGGAAGGACAGATAACCTGCACCACAAGAATCTGACCAAGTTACAACAGGAAAACAAGCACTTTATACAGGAACAAGACAAAAGGGTGAAGGTCTCATCTAGAATTTACATTACAGACCAACTGTTGGCCAGGCGGGCGAAACTTGGTAATAACAAACCTAAGATCCATAAGATAATTTCTTCACGATGGTCAAGGCGACTTCCTTCTATTATTATTATTACTATTACTATTACATGTCATTTGTTAGACGCTTTTATCCAAAGCGACTTACATACATTCAGTTCTGTGGACAATCCCCACAGGAGCAATTTGGGGTGAAGTGTCTTGCCCAGGGACACAACGACATGCTGACGCAGTGGGACTCGAACTTGCTACCCTGTGATTCGAAGTCCAGCACACTAACCACTGAGCCACAGCCTCCCTTCTGTCTGAGAACATTTAGTAGGAGTGAATTTAAACCGTTAGAAGATCCACCACAGATATACCAATATATATATATATATATATATATATATTAGAGCTGTCAAACGATTACAATTTCTAATCAGATTAATCACCATTCGAACTATATGTCCAAAATATGCCATTTCTTTATGCATATTGTTGGGAATGGAAAGATAAATGAAAGAAGGCGGATATATCCATTTAACACAGTATCTATGTTTATTATAAAAAAAATCTGCGTGTCAAAATGAAAGACAACCCACACACCTATCAATCATCAAACCGTGGGGTCTTAATTCATTACGTCTTGATTTCTATCAACGGGGGAGTACTTCAGGAAAGTCGACAGAGGGGGTGGGGGCAAGTGGAGTACTTCGTGACCACAGAGTGTGAACGTTGTGATCAGCTGTTTTAGCGCAGTTCTCCAGTGAAGGGGGGGAGTCTCCCTCCGCAGCCGGTTGGCGTAGTTTTGGCACAGTTCCGTTGTCCAGACCGACGTTAACAGCAGCCCTGTCTGTGCACACGGAGACCGACTCTGTCGTCCGGTGATCTAACCGCCTTCTGGAAAAGCTTCACAAGTACGTCGGTACACAAATGCGCTTTGTGACACAAGTGACGGTACGCATTTCAGATTACGCACATAACCTGCGTACCAGTTATGTGTTACCTGTACTACAGCAAAAGTATTCTCCGTCGGGACTTCCTGCAACAACACCACGCCGTTATCTTGATTCTGATTGGCCAGAAGACATTATCAAAGATGTTCTATTGAGAAGACGATCACTACGCGACAAAAGTTTTCAAAACCGTTTCTGGTCTTCGGTATTTCCAGACAAGTGGCTGAAATCAATCTGACTAACTGCTGTCTGTGCAATTTACTCCGCGCGAGTTGGCGGACTTTATTTTGCTTACTTTAACATCATTGTTCATGGTGGGGCTAAGCCATTTCTTGGTATGGGTGTAGCCTACCCCAGCCATACCCTGGCGCTGCCACTGGTGGCACGTATGGGGCGGGCCATTCTGCACATGCGGTAAATGCGTTAAATATTTTAACGCAATTAATTCAAAAAATTAATTACCGCCGTTAACGCGATAATTTTGACCGCATTAATATATATATATATATATATATATATATATATATATATGTATGTATGTATATATTGACTTGTGATAAATGTCCATGAATCAGGCGTTCCTGGAGATGGGGACGGAGGAGACGGCCGTCACCATGGTCAACTACTACACCACGGTCACTCCTCACATCCGCAACGTGCCCGTCTTCATCCAGTACTCCAACCACAAAGAGCTGAAGACAGACAGCGGCAACCAGGTGAGTCCAAAGACCCTCAAAGACCCTGAGAAGAGTCGAAAAAATATCAAATGAAGCACTCACTGTTTGCCCATAACAATATACCCTCTGGTTTTCACTTGAAACCAATTTTAGTTTTATTTTCCTAAACTGTTATTGCTATATGTGAATAAAATAAGTAACCATAACCCCAGGAAGATTAGCTGTTGTTATGCACCAGCTAATGGGGATCCTAATAAACTAAACTAAACTATCCAAAAGGCTTTATACATGCCAATTCAACAGATTTTTTAAAAGTGTGTTGGGAAAATAGTGAGTGTCCTCCTCCAACATGAGTCACATGATAACAAAGGTATCCCAACTGTAGCTGTGAACATGACAGGATGTGTGATGACCTAGAAGAGCATCAGGACTGTTTGAGGCATATGATAGCTATGTGATTAACATGATGATTCAGCCTCTATGGAGAGAGACATCAAGCATGCTCATTTCTGACGTGGAGCTAATCTGAAGTAAACATTGAATACTGCTTTCTATTCCTCCATCTTGTGACTGTGTAACTCCCTCTCTTGATATCAGCATGTGAAGGACACTGTTCAGGAACTAGTTGATGCTCTGTATGTGATGACTCCTTCCCTTCTGGAGAGGATCACAGACACATGGATCCTGAGATGAAGCTCAAGCCGGAGACCAGGGAGAGTTTTCTAACATAATGGCATGTCTTAAAATGTGTAGAGGACGCAGGCGGTGCTGCAGGCGGTGTCAGCTGTGCAGTCAGGGGGGTCTCCCAGCTCTGATGTCCAGGAGGCTCTGGCTGCTGCCTCCAGCCCCGTGCTGAGGATCATCATCGACAACATGTTCTACCCCGTAACACTGGATGTACTGCAGCAGGTACACACACACACACACACACACACACACACACACACACACACACCCTTAATCCTAAATAAAGTAATCCTAAATGTCACGCTGTATGAAGAGATGGAATAAATGTGTTTCTGTGGTCAGATTTTCTCCAAGTTCGGCACGGTGATGAAGATAATCACGTTCACAAAGAACAATCAGTTCCAGGCTCTGCTCCAGTTCAGCGAGCCAGTCAACGCCCAGCAGGCCAAACTGGTGAGAGGCACTTCCTGTCATGTGATCAGATATAGTATCCTGCTATATACCCCATCTCACCTGAGCGCTGTTTCCCCCCCAGGCGCTGGATGGACAGAACATCTACAACTCATGCTGCACGCTGCGCATCGACTTCTCCAAGCTGGTGAACCTGAACGTGAAATACAACAACGATAAGAGCCGAGACTACACTCGTCCAGAGCTGCCAGCTGGAGACGGGCAGCCGAACCTCGAATCCTCCATCAACGCCTTCAACAAGGACTCCGGCTCGCTGCTCGGGAAGATCCCAGGTACTGAGAACTCTTTACTTCCCTTCATTCTGAGGTCTGGGATAGTTTCAAGGCTTTATCATCATGGTAGATCCCAGGTACCTCCCTTCATTGATGGTAGATCCCAGGTACCCCTTTACCTCCCTTCATTGATGGTAGACCCCAGGTACCTCCCTTCATTGATGGTAGATCCCAGGTACCCCTTTACCTCCCTTCATTGATGGTAGACCCCAGGTACCTCCCTTCATTGATGGTAGATCCCAGGTACCCCTTTACCTCCCTTCATTGATGGTAGATCCCAGGTACCCCTTTACCTCCCTTCATTGATGGTAGATCCCAGGTACCCCTTTACCTCCCTTCATTGATGGTAGATCCCAGGTACCCCTTTACCTCCCTTCATTGATGGTAGATCCCAGGTACCTCCCTTCATTGATGGTAGATCCCAGGTACCCCTTTACCTCCCTTCATTGATGGTAGATCCCAGGTACCCCCCTTCATTGATGGTAGATCCCAGGTACCCCTTTACCTCCCTTCATTGATGGTAGATCCCAGGTACCCCTTTACCCTCCCTTCATTGATGGTAGATCCCAGGTAACCCTCCCTTCAATTGATGGTAGATTCCCAGGTACCCCTTTACCTCCCTTCATTGATGGTAGATCCCAGGTACCTCCCTTCATTGATGGTAGATCCCAGGGTACCCCTTTACCCCTCTCCTTCATTGATGGTAGAATCCCAGGTACCCCTTTACCTCCCTTCATTGATGGTAGACCCCAGGTACCTCCCTTCATTGATGGTAGATCCCAGGTACCCCCTTACCTCCCTTCATTGATGGTAGATCCCAGGTACCCCTTTACCCTCCCTTCATTGATGGTAGACCCCAGGTACCCCTTTACCTCCCTTCATTGATGGTAGATCCCAGGTACCCCTTTACCTCCCTTCATTGATGGTAGATCCCAGGTACCCCTTTACCTCCCTTCATTGATGGTAGATCCCAGGTACCTCCCTTAATTGATGGTAGATCCCAGGTACCCCTTTACCTCCCTTCATTGATGGTAGATCCCAGGTACCCCTTTACCTCCCTTCATTGATGGTAGATCCCAGGTACCCCCTTTACCTCCCTTCATTGATGGTAGACCCCAGGTAACCTCCCTTCATTGATGGTAGATCCCCAGGTACCCCTTTACCTCCCTTCATTGATGGTAGATCCCAGGTACCCCTTTACCTCCCTTCATTGATGGTAGATCCCAGGTACCCCCTTTACCTCCCTTCATTGATGTAGATCCCAGGTACCCCCTTTACCTACCTCCCTTATTGATGGTAGATTCCCAGGTACCCCTTTACCCCCTTCATGATGTGGTAGACCCCCAGGTACCCCCCTTCATTGATGGTAGACCCCAGGTAACCCCCTTCATTTATGGTAGATCACAGGTACCCCCCTTCATTTATGGTAGATCCCAGGTACCCCTTTACCTCCTTTCATTTATGGTAGAGCCCAGGTACCTCCCTTCTTTGATGGTAGATCCCAGGTACCCCTTTACCTCCCTTCATTGATGGTAGACCCCAGGTACATCCCTTCATTGATGGTAGATCCCAGGTACCCCTTTACCCCCTTCATTGATGGTAGACCCCAGGTACCCCCCTTCATTGATGGTAGACCCCAGGTAACCCCCTTCATTTATGGTAGATCCCAGGTACCCCTTTACCTCCTTTCATTTATGGTAGAGCCCAGGTACCTCCCTTCATTGATGGCAGATCCCAGGTACCCCCCTTCATTGATGGTAAAACCCAGGTACCCCTTTACCCCCTTCATTGATGGATTACCCAGGTACCTCCCTTCATTGATGGTAGGCCCCAGGTACCTCCCTTCATTGATGGTAGAACCCAGGTACCTCCCTTCATTGATGGTAGATCCCAGGTACCCCTTTACCCCCTTCATTGATGGTAGATCCCAGGTACCCCTTTACCCCCTTCATTGATGGTAGATCCCAGGTACCCCTTTACCTCCCTTCATTGATGGTAGATCCCAGGTACCCCTTTACCCCCTTCATTGATGGTAGATCCCAGTTACCCCTTTACCCCCTTCATTGATGGTAGATCCCAGGTACCCCTTTACCCCCTTCATTGATGGTAGATCCCAGTTACCCCTTTACCCCCTTCATTGATGGTAGACCCCAGGTACCCCTTTACCCCCTTCATTGATGGTAGACCTCAGGTACCTCCCTTCATTGATGGTAGATCTCAGGTACCTCCCTTCATTGATGGTAGACCCCTGGTACCCCTTTACCCCCTTCATTGATGGTAGATCTCAGGTACCTCCGTTCATTGATGGTAGAACCCAGGTACCTCCATTCATTGATGGTACCCCTTTACCCCCTTCATTGATGGTAGATCCCAGGTACCCCTTTACCCCCTTTCATTGATGGTAGACCTCAGGTACCTCCCTTCATTGATGGTAGATCTCAGGTACCTCCCTTCATTGATGGTAGACCCCTGGTACCCCTTTACCCCCTTCATTGATGGTAGATCTCAGGTACCTCCCTTCATTGATGGTAGAACCCAGGTACCTCCATTCATTGATGGTAGATCCCAGGTATCCCTTTACCCCCTTCATTGATGGTAGAGCCAGGTACCTCCATTCATTGATGGTAGATCCCAGGTACCCCTTTACCCCCTTCATTGATGCTAGACCTCAGGTACCTCCCTTCATTGATGGTAGACCCCTGGTACCCCTTTACCCCCCTTGATTGATGGTAGATCTCAGGTACCTCCCTTCATTGATGGTAGAACCCAGGTACCTCCATTCATTGATGGTAGATCCCAGGTACCCCTTTACCCCCTTCATTGATGGTAGATCTCAGGTACCTCCCTTCATTGATGGTAGACCCCTGGTACCCCTTTACCCCCTTCATTGATGGTAGATCTCAGGTACCTCCCTTCATTGATGGTAGAACCCAGGTACCTCCATTCATTGATGGTAGATCCCAGGTATCCCTTTACCCCCTTCATTGATGGTAGAGCCAGGTACCTCCATTCATTGATGGTAGATCCCAGGTACCCCTTTACCCCCTTCATTGATGCTAGACCTCAGGTACCTCCCTTCATTGATGGTAGACCCCTGGTACCCCTTTACCCCCTTGATTGATGGTAGATCTCAGGTACCTCCCTTCATTGATGGTAGAACCCAGGTACCTCCATTCATTGATGGTAGATCCCAGGTACCCCTTTACCCCCTTCATTGATGGTAGACCCAGGTACCTCCATTCATTGATGGTAGATCCCAGATACCCCTTTACATATGAGCTGCAGACAGGCTGTAACTGAATAAAGATCACGGTAATGGTGTTTTACAGACCATTAATAATGAGGTAATGCTTAGTGTGAGTCATTCTAAAGTGTGTGTGTCCCCTCAGGAGCTCTGAACCCTCTCAGTGCAGCAGCAGCGGCGGCGGCTGCAGCCGGGCGGGTCGCTCTGTCTGGACAGAACGGGTCCAGTGGGGTGCTGCTGGTCAGCAACCTCAACGAGGAGGTCAGTAACACACACACACACACACACACACACACACACACACCGGACGGACACACACCCTCCTCAGTCTTAAAGCCCTCCTTCATCTCTCTCTTCTTTTTTGTATTGCCATTGATTTTTTTCTCTTAAAATGAACCAGTGGAGCTACTGTATGAGTCTGATTCAAAATAAACTTTATTTATAAGTGAGTCTAGATTTAGTGAAGAGGAGCTGATTTGAGGGTCTCCTCCCGTTCGATATCATACCGGCCTGACAGCAGAGTGTGTTTATAATCGAGTGTAATACGACCTGTTTGCATTAACTTAATGACAAAGAGGACACAAAATTGCACAAATACACACCGGTATTTCTCCCTTCTCAGTGATTTCAAGCACTTCCATTCATACCATAAATATACTAATGCTGATCTATCTGAACTATTTTTCTCCCCTCTCTTACATCCCCCTCAGAGGTTAAAGAATCAATCTCAATCTTTATTTATTTATATAGCACATTTAAAACCACCTCAGTTGACCAAAGTGCTGTACAGGGAATACATACAATATACAGGAGTAAATAATAAAACGACACTTGAAAACAAGATAAAAAGCACAATAACTCGAAACATATAGAAATGTCAAAATGTCATGTTCAGCTAGTGTTAAAAGCCAGAGCAAAGAGGTGAGTCCGGGTTAGTGGTTAACTTCATTAATGATGTGTCTGGGCTCACTCCTCTTCACACATTTCAGTATTCCTCACAGTGATTTCAAGCATTTCCCGTTCTACTAATGCTGATCAGAAACAGATCCCTCTGAACTGTTTTCTCACCTCTCTTACCCCCCCCCTCAGATCTGAGAGGTTAATTGAAGGCATTATATCAGGAACACACACAGCTCTTCATCAGTTCTCTGCAGTGAATCATGTCTAACCTCTCTTTGCTTCTAGCGCTCACACCCCAGCCTTCAGTCTTTATCCAGTGTTTTTAGTTGTGCCTCACCATGGGGGGGCTGTCTCCTCTCTGTCAGACTGAAGCTAACTCTGCTAACTCTGCTAACTGTCTCTCTGTTTCCTCTAAGCTCTGCTCACTCTCATATGAACTCCATATGAATCATTCTGTGGGAGCTGTCTCCTCCTCCTCCTCTTCCTCACTCTGTTAAACTGAAGAAGAAGAAAGTCTCCTCCTCCTCTTCATCACTGATCAGAGATTCTGCTGATCCTGTAGACTTGTGTGAACGCTCCCTGCTGCGAGGGGGGGGGTCTTCACATCAACTCCTGCATGAGATTAACTGCATGAACCCCTCCCAGTCTGTCTTTTTACAACCCAGTTTAGATGTGACCACGCCCACTTCTGCATTAATGGACGTATAGAGAGAGCCATGCTAACTGAAGGAGCATCGAGCTTGCGGTCGAATAGTCAGTTTCTCTCAGGACCCTTCCTAACGGAGTGGAGTGACCAAGTCCCTCAGTGGCAGCCATGATAAGAGCCGTTAGAATTGATGATAGGAAAGGAGCTTTGAAACTTCCTTTATAACCTCCTTTAGCTTAGGAACCACTGGACCTTCCCTTACGAAAGGAAAGGAGAAAATGCTGCCCCACAATGCCTTGCGGCCGCAGCATTTACCGTCAAGCAACATTCGGCCGTTCACGGAAACAACCGATCGTGACCGTGAAATGCATATCAATTGATGTGGTAACTAACCCTAACCCTTGCCTAACCTAAGTGCTTTGTTTTGAACGTTCAACGCTATAAGTCGGATTCTCAAAGCACCGCAGTCCTTTTGAATCTTCCTATCCACTATTCCTTAACCCTGTGACGTTTCACACAGAGGAGAGGAATAGTGAATAGGAAAAGACGATAGGAGCTGATTTTTGGACAATTCCACTGCAACCCTTCTGTAGTTGTTAACCAGTCTAACAACCATTGTCAGTTATACTGGGGGCACTGGTTCCATCACTAAAATGGCCAGTTTGTGTGTGTCCCCCCCCACTTTGCATTAGTTTCAAGGCTTCATCACCATGTGCTCAGCAGCTACAGTGGAGATATGGCAATGAAAAACTGAAGGCTCCTCCAACAGAGCAACATCAATATATATAGGACATAGAACTAATAAAACAGATAATATAGTGCAAGAGAATGTTTTGAGATGTGCAAGTAAATACAAATAAAATAGAAATAGTACAAGAAGAGTCAATATACAAGTAAATGGAATATGATATATTAGATACATAATTAGCACAATGCAAACATATGAATGTTTAGGGATGTTCTTTAAAAATGATCATGTGGTACTTCAGTGTTAGCACGGTTCTCTTTATGGTTCTCTGTATACCTCATGATGCAAGGATAGGTTAATGCAGAAGTTGGCGTGGTTACATCTAAACTGGTTGGATAAACAACAGCCCCCCCCCCCCTCAGGTTCCTGCTGTATGTCTTCCTGTTCTGACTTTATAGTCTGTTTGTCAGAGAGTCCTGTAGTGAACCTGGACCTGTTGAGTACACCACAGTTTATCATAGACAGGTAGAGTAGGGTCGTTTTTAGCAGGTTGTTTGTCCAGTCCTCAGGGTCTCCAGTCCTCAGGGTCCAGTCCTCAGGGTCTCCAGTCCTCAGGGTCTCTCAGTCCATAGGGTCTCCCAGTCCAGTCCTCAGGGTCTCTCAGTCCATAGGGTCTCCCAGTCCAGTCCTCAGGGTCTCTCAGTCCACAGGGTCTCTCAGTCCAGTCCTCAGGGTCTCAGGGGTCTCCCAGTCCAGTCCTCAGGGTCTCTCAGTCCATAGGGTCTCCCAGTCCAGTCCTCAGGGTTTCAGGGGTCTCCCAGTCCAGTCCTCAGGGTCTCTCAGTCCACAGGGTCTCCCAGTCCAGTCCTCAGGGTCTCAGGTCTCAGGGTCTCCCAGTCCTCAGGGTCTCCCAGTCCTCAGGGTCTCTAGTCCTCGGGTTCTCCCATTCCTTAGTCTCTCAGGGTCTCCCAGTCCTCAGGGTTTCCCAGTCCTCGGGGTCTCCCAGTCCAGTCCTCAGGGTCTCAGGGGTCTCCCAGTCCAGTCCTCAAGGTGTCTAGTCCTCAGGGTCTCTCAGTCCACAGGGTCTCCAGGTCCAGTCCTCAGGGTCTCAGGGGTCTCCCAGTCCAGTCCTCCGGGTCTCTAGTCCTCAGGGGTCTCCCAGTCCAATCCGCAGGGTCTCCTCTCCGGCTGTTATTTATGATTTTGGTGATCTGCTGTAAAGAATCCATATCTCTGACCTGCATTATCCAGTGTACTGACCTATATTTTATTTTTTGTCCCTCCCCTTCCTCCCCATTGGTTGATTTGCATTGCCCCCCCCCTCCATGCTCCTCCCTCATTGGATCACTCCCTCATTAACTCTTCATCATGGGGGACTCCTCCTCCTCCTCCTCCTCTGGACTCTCTTCCTGTCTCACGCTGCTTGTTGCTCTTCTCTCCCTCTAAAGATGGTTACGCCCCAAAGTCTGTTTACCCTCTTCGGTATGTTATCCTCTCTCTATTGATCTCTCTCTCTATTGATCTCTCTCTATTGATCTCTCTCTCTATTGATCTCTCTCTCTATTGATCTCTCTCTATTGATCTCTCTCTCTATTGATCTCACTCTATTGATCTCTGATCTCTATTGATCTCTGATCTCTCTATCTATTGATCTCTGACTCTTTATCTATTGATCTCTTTATCTATTGATCTCTCTCTATTGATCTCTCTCTCTATTGATCTCTCTCTATTGATCTCTCTCTATTGATCTCTCTCTATTGATCTCTCTCTCTATTGATCTCTGATCTCTATTGATCTCTGATCTCTCTATCTATTGATCTCTGACTCTTTATCTATTGATCTCTTTATCTATTGATCTCTTTATCTATTGATCTCTTTATCTATTGATCTCTCTGACTCTACCTTCTCTTTATGCTCTATTTCCATCTTTGAGACATTTATCATTATTATTATTATTGATCATGGAAGGCCCCGATCGTTATTAGGTGATATTTACGAAGTATACGTGATTTAAAGATCAGTGTTAATGCTTTTCAGTCGATGATGCTACATCGTGAACAGCTCTGCAGGAGAGCTAGCTAACATTAGCTGTTATCGTTAGCTGTTAGCCATTAGCTGTTATCATTAGCTGTTAGCCATTAGCTGTTATCGTTAGCTGTTAGCCATTAGCTGTTATCGTTAGCTGTTAGTCATTAGCTGTTATCGTTAGCTGTTAGCCATTAGCTGTTATCGTTAGCTGATAGCCATTAGCTGTTATCGTTAGCTGTTAGTCATTAGCTGTTATCGTTAGCTGTTAGCCATTAGCTGTTATCGTTAGCTGTTAGCCATTAGCTGTTATCGTTAGCTGTTAGTCATTAGCTGTTATCGTTAGCTGTTAGCCATTAGCTGTTATCGTTAGCTGATAGCCATTAGCTGTTATCGTTAGCTGTTAGCCATTAGCTGTTATCGTATAATTCTGAGTAGCATTAAAAGAAGTCAAATCCATATTGGCGGCCATAAATGTGATCGGGACATCTCTAATTATTATTATTTTAAGCCTTATGCATTTCTTTGCACAGAGTAGCTTGTTTTGTTAATTTATGATATATTTTGGCTCCAGTTTATTTGGGTTAATTCTCACTACTTAGCCCTAACCCCCCCTAAACTTTAAAGCATGCAGTTTTTATCTCTGTTGAGGGTCTCTCTTCTCTCTCTCTCTCAGACCTGTTTCTCTCTCTGTGTTTCACGCTAACCTTCCTCCTCTAACGTCTCCTCCTCCTCCTCCTGGTGCAGGAGTGTATGGTGATGTGCAAAGGGTGAAGATCCTCTACAACAAGAAGGACAGCGCTCTGATCCAGATGTCCGACGGGAACCAGGCGCAGCTCGGTAAGACGAGCATCCAAAGTATAATTTACCTGTGAATCTGAACGACTCTGTATTATTTGGTGTGAATGCTGAGAGGCAACATCACATTTTGATTGGCTTCTTCTCCCAAAATGCTCAACGCAGAAATTCAGTTCAAACTTTAAGACTTTCAGATCGATTAGGAATCTACGGCTATTACTCCTGACATCACTCATCATAACTGCAGAAATATGAACCATAAGTCATCCAAACGTTGTATTAAGTTCAGCGTTCAGCATTCACCAGTTTATTTTTGGCTAAATTAAGTTTAAAATAGGGCTTTCATTTTGGTTTTCACTTCTTATTGACTTGTGAATTAAATGAAAGGACGTCTGATTGAGTTTAATGGTAGAAGCACCACTCTAACGCTCCTCTGCTCCCCAGCCATGAGCCACCTGAACGGGCAGAAGATGAACGGGAAGATCATCCGCGTGACGCTCTCTAAGCACCAGACGGTGGCGCTGCCTCGCGACGGGCTGGACGACCAGGGCCTCACCAAGGACTTCAACAACTCCCCCCTGCACCGCTTCAAGAAGCCCGGGTCCAAGAACTTCCAGAACATCTTCCCCCCCTCGGCCACGCTGCACCTCTCCAACGTGCCGTGAGTACCAGCTGACGGAGGCTCAGAGTCATGCTATAGAAATATCACTACATGCTTTATCCAAAGACAAAAAGACCCCTTCACTTCCTGTCTGTAGACGCAAACAAACACTGTCCAGTGTCAGCAATTCACTCAAAGAGTCCACCTCTTATGAAATGTAGACTACATTTATTACGGAGTTTATGTCCGAGCCAACAGACTCTCAGATCGTTGGCTACACACCGCATGTAGTACGACACAAACCTCCGCTGTGGATTTTCAAAACAAAATACAGTAAAACTCTGGTCGCAGGCCCAAGTCTAACTCTCTGAGGTCTAAGCCATTTTTTCACATGTTAGGCTCGCGTGGCTTTTTTTGTAAAAATGCTATTACAACATGAACCTTGGTGACCGTCGGGCTGGCCTGCGTGGGCTGCCCCAACCACAGCCTCTGATCAGCAACAGACTTCATGCAATGCTTCATTGGATGCATATATTATAATCTCTATCCAACTCCTAACATCTACATCTACTTCCAGCCTGGATACATGTTCATAAAAGACATCCATTGTGTTTTTGTATTGGTTAAGTGGGCATAAAAAAGTTTGAGAAACACTGCTCTACCTGATAGACTAGTACTAGTAGAGTGAAAACGGTGGTGATGAAGACTGGCAACATCACACCATCTGAAACAAACAAGTGACAATAAAAGTATAGGAGTTTATTAAGACAAGAAACAAATATTCGGGTAAAAGTTTGGACTTAGTGTATACAGAAATTCCACCAGCAGTTGTTAAAGGTCCCATGTCATGCTTCCCTGGTTCTGACCCGTCCCCTTGTGTTCTGTAGCTTCTGCATGTGAACGGTCTGCAGAGTCACAAACCCTCAAAGTGCCCCCTTTAGGGAGTAACACTCTAACACAGAGAAGACCTGTCTGTGCTGCCCCAGAACGCCTCGATGGACATTTATCTTTTCCATTGTTTTCTTCCGGGGTACAGTGACGTGACCATACCCAAATGGACCCATTGGTCATTGGTGCTAGTGGAGCCTCGCAGCGGCAGGAGCTCCAACAAGCCGTGTAGGACAGAGAGTGAATACACATACTTTACAGAGATGCTGTGAGACACCAATGAGAGTTTGGAACATTGAACAATGTACATCTATTCTAGTAGACCTCAACAATGGGATTATGATCAGTAGACATGGCCATGACATGGGACCTTTAATACAAATGTTTTATCACCACTCACCTCTTACTCACTTATAACTGTGTAAACCCAACCAGATGAATGCTACCGCGTTAGCTTCTCTTAAAGCCAGCCCTCTGTTAGAGCTCGGTACAGATTATATAACGTGTGATTTAACATCTCTTTAACAGCCAGGACGTGACGGAGGAGGACCTGCGGCTCCTCTTCTCCAACGCCGGAGGAACCGTCAAGGCTTTCAAGTTTTTCCAGTACGTACGACGAGCCCTCTGTAACAACATCAGACACTCTTTAGACGTAAAACACATCATGGGGTTTTATGTCTTTGAATTGAAAGACTCCCTATTCTACTTTCTGTGGGGCTTCCTCTTCCTAGTTCGATAGGTGTTAGTGCATGTAAAGGGTCAGCAGAGGCTAAATAGTGACATCACTATGGAACACTCCTATTGGCTGGCTCCAACACATTGCACGTGATAGGCTAAGGGGCGGGACATCTCTAAGCTGGTTGACCAATCACAACAGAGCTAACCAATCAGAGCAGACTGGGCTCTGGTTTCAGACAGAGGGTGAAAAGAGGTGCTGCAGCACAGGCAGTATGAGAAACACAAAGGGCTTTCTAAACATTAAAGCATGGAGGCGTGATAAGAACCTGAACAAGAGGAGAATAAGGAAATGAGCTTGATTGTATCCCATCTTGGAACAATCAGTTGATCCTGCTGTAGTTTTATTTCCTAGTGCTATTTGTTGTCTCCTGTGGTTAGCTTCACTTGTGTTTATATAGCATATAGCATATAGCATGGCTCAGGACATCTTAGCCCAGTGAAACCCTGATGATTGATGTCTCCTGAGGTCCTCACTGTGTCTTCTTGCTCCAGGGACCGTAAGATGGCTCTGATCCAGATGACCACGGTGGAGGAGGCCATCCAGGCTCTGATCGACCTTCACAACTACAACATGGGGGGCAGCCAGCACCTCAGGGTGTCCTTCTCCAAGTCCACCATCTAACCCTCTACCGACCATTCCTCCAGAGACTGATGGACGCTCTGTAGTTTGATGTTTCTCTCTTAAAGATACTCATGTGCCTTATGGATGTCTCCCTGTTTCTACTCTTCAGCCCCCTATGCTTTCAGGCACATCGGTATTGGGTTTTTTGTTTAGATCCATCACTTCTTCTTCTTTAGTTTCTGAGCAGGGGAATATTCCTGACTCTTATTCCACCGGTCCGTCAGTATCCGTGTTTCCGAAGGCTTTCCATAGCGGTGTGTGTGTGTGTGTGTGTGTGTGTGTGTGGCGTCGGCATGCAGGTGACAGGAAGTGATGCATGAAGACGATCTCCTGTGGTTTCTAAGTACTGGGAGAGCTCCTCTGTGGACCAACGTCTCTGTGCCTTTATGGCGCGTTTCCACTGCAGGCCTCGCTCGGTTTGGTTAGGCCTTATTAGGCCCGGCTCACTTTATGCTGCGTTTCCATTACATTTAGGAACTGGGGCAGTTACTATAGTAACGCAGTGTAGGCGGAGCCGTGACGTCATCTTCAATGAGAGCCCCAGAAAAACAACACAGCCGTTAGCTGTTAGCACTCAGAGCTCACAGCTCCTCATATCTGTTCAGAAACTAGACAGAAGTTAAACAAGTACAAACCACAGACTGTCTGTGTCATGGCGAATACAGTCGCTGCTTTATTTATGTCTGTATAGGCCGTTGTTGTGAGTGTGGACGGTCGGAGCATATACTGCGTTAGCTTAGCCAAGCTCCATTTAGAAAGCACACATTTTAAAAGGTGTTTCTCTGCCGTCTGTCTGCAGACTTGTCAAAGCATTAATTCATGGTTTGTACTAACCGGTATCAGTATGTTGTTACTTCGGCATCATTTAGAAACGTGTATTACAATTAAATCAGTCAAATATGTTCATCTTGTTGTAGTTGTAGCCGCCTTGCCAGCGATTCTCTCTCTAGTTTAGCATACTCAGCCCGACTCAGCCTGGTTGTTCCTGGCCCTAGAACCACCATTTTATGGGGCCAGAAAAACTGTGAATTAGGATCCGCTAGCCGGTGCTAGGCCAAGTGGAAACGCAACCAAAAACGGGCCCCGCTCGGCTCGGCACGCTTAAAGCGAGCTACCCACCTGCAGTGGAAACGTGCCATTAGTGTTCCCCCCAGAGACCCGGTGGAAAGACCCCCAAAGCAGAGACTCCTACCACTGGAAAGACCCCCAAAGGAGAGACCCCCAAAAGGAGAGACCCCCAAAGGAGAGACTCCTCCCACTGGAAAGACCCCCAAAGGAAAGACCCCCAAAAGGAGAGACTCCTCCCACTGGAAAGACCCCCAAAGGAGAGACCCCAGGACCCCCGTGTGTTAATGAAGTGTTTCTGTTTTCTACCGCTGAGATTAAAGGAGAGTTATTTTCTAACGGGACGTCTGCTTCCTGCTTCCAGCTCCTCTGTATCTGTAGCATGCTTAATAAAATATTCTGTAGCTCTCACCTCTCCGTCTCTCTCTCTCTCTCTGAAGCCTCTCCAGTCTCACCCCCCTTCAGTCTCCTCTGATGTCTCCTCTCTCCTTCGGGAGTTTCCTAATCTGTCTCCTCTCACCTTCATCACTTACACACTTTTTACACAGCTTTTAATCACAAAAAAGTCAGCAATTAGAGAGGAGGAAAGGAAACGATGAACAACACGGGAGCAAAGAAAGAGACACACCACGCACACACACACATATACACACACAGACAGAAACACCACGCACACACAGACATACACACACAGAAACACCACGCACACACACATATACACACACAGACAGAAACACCACGCACACACACACACATATACACACTGTTAGGGAAATATAGTGTTTGACATCAAAGTCTGCTCCTACCGTGTCTCCTTCCTGAGTCGGTGACTCCCACAGCATAGCTACACAGAAGTTTCCTCTACACTCACACACACAGAAACACCACGCACACACACATATACACACACACAGAAACACCATGCACACACACAGAAACACCACGCACACACACATATACACACACACAGAAACCACATGCACACACACGGATGAAAGTGACTCAGATGAAGCTGTGATGAGTCCAGGAAGGAGAAAGTTAGATCTGATTTAAATCCTGAAGCTGTCTTTTGCCCCTTTCACACCAACGCGTTTTCAGCTGAAAAGTGCCGGTTTTTCCTGTTCACACCGCAGCGGTGCCGCCTCTTAGCTCCGGAATCCGGTTGTCGGTCTAGAGCTTTATATATACAGGCTATGGTCTAGACTCTAGAGCAGGGCTATTCAAGTAGTTTGGAATGGGGGCCGGTTGATGAAAATGATCCAAAGCAAGGGGCCGGGAAAAAAATGACTTGAAATATGAGCAATCATATTAAGAGCTTCAGATACAGTAAATACTACAGCAGGTCACCCTTGAAAAAGAGATCAATGATCTCAATGGGATTCACCTGCATAAATAAAGGTTTGAAATGAAATGAAATGACTACAACAGCATAGTGGAGTGCATATATTTTGTTTAATTAAATCAAACATAGCCCCAAGGCCTTTATAAATGGCAAGTTCAGAACTCAGTACATGTGAAGCTAATATAACCATCAACATCATTAGATTTAGATTAAATTATCTAATAATTCACACAAAATAGCAATTTAGGGCCAGACACAAACAACAGTGCATATTATGGTATAATAACAATAAAGACAAGTGAGCCATACCACATCAATTGCTTAATTAAAAGCAAAAACAATTGTCAAAAGACTTGTATTAATGACCAAACCACAACACACAGCCTTTTCAAACTCAAACCTTTTTTGATTAACATAGTGATAACTGTATGCAACCAACTTGGCAGATATGTGCCATCTAATGAGAGAATTGGCATTTTTTCGATTTAGCAAGAGCAGGGAAGTCAGGAGTATACGTTGTCATGGCAATACGCATACAGTGATGCAGATGCTGGTCGGAGAGGGATGCGCGATTATTAGTTTGTATGGCATTCATGTGTGAGAATGCCGATTCGCACGTGTAAGTCGAGCCAAACATTGTGAGGACAAGACCCCTTGAATGAGGGAATTTCTCGTGGCTGACTTCATGAGTCCAGAACTTTTCAGAACCTGCCAGCTGAAATGACTGTCGCAGGTCATCTGATGACTGAATGTCAATGAGTTCGAGTTGTAAAGACGCCTCATTAATGTCACAATCAGCTCCTTTGCTTTCAGTGCAAACTCCCCCTCTACATTCACAGAGAAAGGGTCCTTCACAAATCTCATCACTTCAGTCGGGAGACTGAAATGTTCAAACCTCGCGGCAAAGTTGGTTTTCAATGTGTCCATAAATCCAGTCATCACCTCGGTGATTTGTAAACCTGCGCAGTGTTGGAAAATGGAGCATTTTGCCTGGACATAAATCCGCAAAAAAAAGTGTGAGCTTTATTTGAAACGCATGGAGTCTCTCCACAAGTTGTGTAACCATTTTATCTCTGCCCTGCAGCTCCAAATTGAGTTGGTTCAGATGTTGGAAAATGTCGCTCAAAAAGCAAACAGCAGCGTAAAACTCATCATTCTCTATCAGACACATCTAATGGCACTGTGCATGAGCAAATCATTATATTGAGCTGACATGTCTGACAACATCTGGCGGAAAAGCCGTTGCTGTAAACTGGAGTTACAACGAATAAAGTTAATAATCGCCATGACAGAGTCCATTGTGTTTTTTAACTCACCACTCAGTTTTGCGCACAGGAGGCTTTGGTGGATGAGGCAATGCAGCGATCTCAGCTGTGGAGCCACATCTGCCAGCCTAGCGGACAGTCCCTGTGTTCGGCCCGACATCGCAGGGGCCCCATCCGTTACAAGCATGTTAATACGATCCAATCCCAACTTGTGCTCCTTGAAAAACGAAACCACTTTGTGGAACATCACCTCACCGGTCGTGTGTCCATCCAAAGGAATTAATCCAAGTAGATCCTCCCGAAAGCACTCACCATCAAAGAATCTCATAGAGGCACAGCTGTGCAACATCGCTGCTGTCAGTGGATTCATCAACAGCTAGCGACATAACCTCCGCCTTTCTCAGTTTGTCCAAGAGAATCTCAAAAACGTCCGATTCAAGGGTCTCCACTCTCCTTGATGTTGACGTGTCAGGAATCGGAATGTTCTTAATTGAGTCAATAACGCTTTTTCTGATTTTCTCATCTGCAACCACTTCCTCAATTGATGCAAGCATACACTCTTTGACTGTCTCTGCGTCCGTAAAAGGCCTTTTCTTTTTGCCTAATATCCAGGCCACTCGTAGGGACGCTGCGGTAGCTCTCTCTTGGTCAGTGCAAGCCCGAAACAGGGAGCTACGTCTTTGGTCATAGCACAAAGTTAGCCCCAAAATCTTCTGGCGGCGAGCATCAGAGCCCGCTGAAAAAGTGGCGTCAAAGTTGGCGTGAGCTGTCTTAAAATGCCTTCTCAAGTTGTACTCTTTACACACCGATAAACACTCATTGCAGATTAAATACACGGGCCTCCCACTGACATTTACACACAAGTACTTCTCTTTCCCCACTCGCTGTTGAGTTGCTGGTTTTCGGTGTCAACCTTTCGTTTTTTTAACGTAGAAAGAGACATTTTGATATCCAACTATGCTGACCAGGTTTGATTAATCGTTCCATTGGCGCGAAACCGTCGAAGGTGCGCGAGCTTGTAGTGAAGGGAGCCGCGAGAGACGCAATAAATGACAGGAGTTGGTAGTAGGTTGGTAGTTCGAAACCCGAGCCCGCCAAAGTTTTCAGGCAATGTCTTCCCCTCTATCTCTCAATTTAACACCCTCTCAGGAATAAAGGCACTCTGGTCCAAAAAAATAAATAATTAAATTAATTTTCTTTTTTTAATTAAACTTTTTTTTTTTTTTTACTTTTTAACATTATACTCAAAGGGCCAGTAAATATCACCCGGGGGCCGGATTTGGTCCGCGGGCCGCCAGTTGAATAGCCCTGCTCTAGAGAATAGACTGTATATATAAAGGTCTAGACGCAGTGCTTCTCAAAGTGTGGTCCGTGAGTATATTGGTACAATTTCACATTTTAAATTAATTAATGAATGAATTAATTAAAGTTTTCCGCACTCTCGCGGGAATATCTCCGCAATGGAGCGAGCTTAAGTTTCACTTTCGATTGCATGATATAGCTCAGATAAATACCTTCATCACACATGTTCAGTGGCGACTGGTCATTAGGGCACAGCCCCACCTAGTGTCAGTAGAAAGTATTAAAAATAATGATTACAACAAAATGCAAAAAATACATTAAAAAATATATTTTAAGATCATGTTTAATCATCTGATTCGTCTCATTGCTGTTTTAGTCTGTGTTCTTCTAATTAGTGTCTACAGTGTGTGCTTATTGAGCTGTTTGAGCCATGTGGGACAAAACCCGATCCTGCCCCTCCCTCTCTCTGTCTAAGTGAATGGTGACTGTAAAAACTACACTGCGCATGCTCAGAATATGTTCCTATTTAATGTGTGTGGCAAAAAAATAATGACCATAGGGGCATAGTGCTGCCATCCCCACCATACGTCATCTCACATCATTCAGAGCTGATTGGCTGTAAGTACGTGTGCCGCGAAAAG